TTATTTAAAATATAAATATTATTTTATTTTAAGACTAATATAATTTTTTTAGGTTTTATTAATAATAAAGATAAGCAAAAAAATTCAGAGATCTCCACTTCAATTAGTATTAGTACAATAATATAATTTTAAATCGAAAAAATCATCATATATATATGAATATGCATATCTTAAATTAACAAATATATATAATCTAGTAAATATAAAAACAATAGATAATTTAGTTCATATAATTCTAAGATTTGATAAAAGTAGTGAATATTTATTAAATAATTATTTATTTTAATATAATTATTATCACATTATTTTTTTGAAATAAAAATTTTTTTGGATAGAGAACTCCAGAGATCTCCAAAAAAAATTCCTGATATATGATTAAATATATAAGTGCCATTTTTTTTTGTCAAAACTGTATACGGTATACTTTAAAAGATAAATAGAATAGAATAAAAGAAATAAATATTAAAAAATTAAAAGTATAATAATGTGCTGATATCTTATGAATTTTTAAAGTCCAGTTAAGAAATAGAAAATGATTTAGATAAATACAAAAGGTTTTTTATCAATTAGTTATTAAACGTTTTTGATTTCGAAAAATTATTAAAAGAAATACAGTAAGAAGATTCAAAATGGGATTAGAGCGAAAATTTATTAGACTGTTTTTCGATAACATTATTTTCGATTTTGAAGTTTTCAGTATTGGAAGAACATCAAAGAATAATTTCTTTAATAATCATATAGAATCCTAAATATGTGAACAACAAGTAAAAAAAAATTTATTTTTTTTTCTGAAATAAATAAACGAAAACGCCTTAAGTGATGTTTAAAAAAATGGTGATTTTACATTACAATAATGTATATAAAGTGTAATAATAAATAGAAAAATAAATGACAATAAATGAATTTTGTATTCTAATAAATTTCACGGCGAACTAACTAATAACTGAAATTATAGGTTTATTATTTAGAAAAGAGAATTACAATGCAATGTTACTTTGTCAAACGTGTTCTATTTTTTCTATGGGTAATCACGTAGATGATGAATCATCTTCTTTATCACCGACATTAATAGCATTAGCAATGACCAACGCAGAATATAAATCTTCTATCAAATCGCTTCCATCCTGCAGAAGTTGACAGAAGTTAGTGGAATCTTTTAAATTGAGTACAACCTAAAAATTCGAAATATATCCTTACTTCGATACCAACGCACAAACGAATCAGATCCTCAGGAAAACCTCTTTCTTGCCTCACTGCAGCAGGTATGCTTGCATGTGACATTTTACATGGCATGCTTTAAATAGAAACAAAAAGTCAAAATAGGGTTTCAGAAATTTCTTTGCAAACTCAAGTATTCTCACCTTATTAACGAATTAACACAGCCAAAGCTAACAGAAATAGACCATAATTTGGTGGATTCCACGATACGCTCGCTAATCTTCACATCCCCGGTTACAAAGCTAAGAACGGCACCGGGTCCGCTGGACATGGCAAAATGCAAATCATGTTGTGGATGCGACCTCAATCCCGGATACATGACTTTGAAATTGTGATATTCAAGAAACTCGGCTATCCGCATAGCATTAGCCTGTTGCTTTTCCATTCGAACTGCTAAAGTTTTAACGCCACGAAGTAATAACCATGACTCGAAAGGCGCCAGTCCACACCCGGTTGCATTAATGGTATAATAGATTTTCTATATTCAAGAAAGTTGTCAGATGACGGAATAAAAATTATACCATAAAGATAAATGCATAGGCACCAGCACAAAATGGGATATAGAACAGTCAAATTAAAATTTTTTACCTCCGCGACAACTTCATCTTTGACGCCAATAACACCGGCCATCAAGTCATGATGCCCACTGAGATATTTAGTACCAGAATGTATCACTATATCCGCACCAAATTCTAAGGGTCTTTGAAGATAAGGAGACATCATGGTATTATCAACCACTATCAACGCGTTTGGACATTTTTCATGTACAACTGATGCGATTTTTGGAATATCTGATATCTTTATTAACGGATTCGTAGGTGATTCCAAAAGGATTAAACGGGTTCTTGTCGGATGTAAATAGGGTAACAGAGAATCCACATTGGTGGTATCAACATGATGTGATTTTATATCAAAACTTTTATTAAGGAATGAGAGCAGTCGATTCGTCCCTAAATAAAATTTATGATATGTAATCTTATGGCAAGATGGAATACAATCCAAAGATTAGCATGAAATCTTCGATTCACCTCCATACAGGTCGTCTCCGGCGATTATTTCCTCACCAGCTCTCACTAATCGAGTTACTACGTCCAAAGCGCTCATACCACTGCTTACGGAAAAAGCACGTTTTGCTGACATAATTTTCGCAAGGTGATTTTCTGAAAGCAATAATGACTTAGATTAAAATTATATTTCGAACATGTGAATAACTTAAAATTACCTAAATGAGATCTCGTTGGATTTCCGCTTCGTGTATAATCGAAATCACCCATTTGAGATGCGGAAGTCTGTTTAAAAGTCGCCGTCTGATAAATAGGTATGGAAGAGGCATTATAAGGATCTCTGACACCTGTTCCATCGGAATTGTCTATATAAACTAACTCTGTCGCAAGATTATATCTACTTCGATTTAGCTCCTGAGAGTTTGGTGTAGATGGTTCGGAATCCATCGTGATATCTAACTGTTTGATAAAAATTTTTTAATCTTTTTAAATCTTTTATCTCTGGTTGATACCGGCATGCAGAGTAGATCCAATCACATAAAAATCTTGTGATACGTTTTTTTTTTTTTTTTTTGTGGAAATGCATTTATAGCAAATTTTATTTGGGTTTCGGTTCTTCCTTTTTGCTGTTTCGTATTTAACTGAAAGTAATACATAAAGGATGGCACATGATCAAGTTTGGTTCTCCCGTCCTCGTCGCTACGGAAAAGGTTCACGTGAATGGTAATGGTGAATTTTCACTATTCCTAAAGGTCATCAAATATATACTGATTCGATTATATGTATATTTCTTCAAAAGCCGAGTTTGTGCTCACCGTGCTGGTTTAATTCGCAAATACAATCTTAACGTTTGCCGCCAATGCTTCCGCGAATATTCTAAGGATATTGGATTTATTAAGGTATGATCATTAGATAATTTTTGTGTAGTCTGTCTTTTTATTTACATAAACTGAACATTTTATAGTACCGATGAAGTAAAATCAGAAATTACAAGAGTTTCATTCAAAAATTCTTACACAATTTATGTTCGAATTTCTTCGAACTTATATTTTGCGAAGTCGTAATAAAGATTAATTGCAATCTCTGAATTACCATGAAGATCAACATTAGGTAGCAAAAAAAAAGGGTTAAAAAAGTTCCAAAAATAATATTTTATTAAATACTGAGAATATTGACAAATTGGTCCATTTGAGCAGAATCCTGAGACGTACTGTTGACACAGGGTTCGTCGAGTATGCCTTTGAATTTATAGTGATATAGTTGGTACCTTAAAGTTCATTACCCTCGGATCCATCTGATGTGCTTTTTCATTGCCGGGCACTGAGGCAACTTATTGAAACCATAAGCGTGTAGATATGAGCAGTTGATTAGAAAACATCCTCCAAGTAACCAGTGTTTGCAGACAATTTCTTGACCACCGTTTTGTTTCTTATCGCTTTTCATTATTATGGATAACATTTCGAAGACTTTTTTATCAGACATTGAAAAAAGATATTGATCCACATTCCTTATCTTTGGTTGAAGAATCTGCTTAATATATAAACGGTTCAAAGATGCTATGAAAATTAGGTTTTATAATTCCGGCCGTTGTCATGAATAATAATCGATTTAAGAAGTTACAATCTATACTTGACGTGATACATCAGCGAGAAATATACTGAAACATCGCATTAAATAATTTTACTTTCTACTCACGCAAATATTTTCTATATTTTTTTTATAATAAAACAACCCGCAAGCTCATTAGCAAAAAAAAAAATACCCCTTCACTATAATTCAATTTAACCAAGTTCAATCTAAACCTGATCTTGTATTAAACCTAATATTTGCTTGTTTTGGAACAATACATTCAATATAATTATATAATTATTATAATTTAATACTATTGATGTTCGAAAGTTTGAATTAGATAAATACTGTTAGCTTATAATTAAAGAAATAGAATATTGAGTTTTTATAACATGTTCACTGCGGTTGTTCCTGTTTATCATTATAATTATGAAATATTAGTACTCTTTCTCTGTTTTTTTTCAAAAAAATTTTAGAAATACCTGAGTGATAAAATTGAGTGCGTCTTCCTTGCTAATTGCACTAATGCTCGAAACCTTGTTTGAAAATGTAACACCATAGAACTTATCAGCGTTGGCAAGCATTTCTGGACGGAACGTAGTCGTAATGAATTGCGCTTTATCACATAACTCGTGAATCATAGCTTCGATGACATTTCAAAATATTAGAGACATCCTGAAGAAAACAATCAATAATAAATAATCAATGCATCAAATTCATTGCTACTTACATGCAACTGCAGTTCTGTATTGTGCATCAAGAGCAGCATCGATTTCATCAAATAAGTAGAAAGGGGCCGGGTCACACTGTTGGATAGCAAATATCAAGGTAAGAGCAACTAAAGATTTTTGACCACCCGACAACTGTTGCATGCGAAGTCCTTCATCGGTTTTACTATTGAATGAAACCTTGAATCGAAACGATATAAAGCTTAGCGAAATATTTTACTAAAGTTTAATGCATCTATTTTAAGGCACACCTTTATTGCAACACCGGTATAATTGTCTACACTGGACCTTCCTCCATTTTCTTCAGACTCCATTTCTTCTTCCTCTTCTTGATCCTAAGGGTTAATACATATCTTTTAAGTTTATTATCGTTTTTAATAACAATCTAAGTATAACCAACATTACCTTATCTATCTTCCTTTGCATGATCAGTTGCCCTCGTCCCGCAGGAACCAATTTTTCAAAAACTTCGGAAAAGTATTTGGCCACTTGTTTGAAAGTGCGTTCAATTGCCTCATCCTTTCTTTGATCTAGGACGTTAATAAGTTCATTGATAGCCTGAAATAAAATAGATTAACAATCGATCGTCGAAGATAGAACCACGATAAAACAAAAATAAAATAATACCCTTTTAGATTGGTCCAATTCAACCTTTCTTTTTGTAAGTGTTTCTTTTTGCTTTTTAAAATTATTATACTGTTCAAAAGCCTTTTTGTTAACGTGGCTATATTTCTTCAGACCTTCATTGACTTTATGTAAATCCCTTAAGAGCTGAAACAATAAACTGGTGAGCAAATAACAGAGATTATATATTATTTTTAATGAATCGACCAACCTTGGTAGGGTCGGTATTTTTAAACTTCTCGAATGCCTCCTCAGGTAATGCCCCAAGTTCTCGAATATTCTTTGTACATTCGTCCTTTTTCTGCAATAATAATTTTCTTTTTGATAAGAATTTGTCCACGTTTTTTTGTTGACGCTCCAGCTTCTGCTGGCGTTCGATTTGCTCGGCCTTTCAAAAAGATAAAGGAAAAATAGTTAATTTTGTTTTTGGCCAAATTTCCGCCTAAGACAAATACACGCACACCTTTAATCTTTCAGAATCGGAATTTCGTTGGTTTAAAGCATTAGAAAGTTCTTGTAGTTCCGTTTCAATTTCTAACACCAAGATCAATATTACATAAGAAATTCTGTTAAGTTCGATTTCCAAGTCCATTGTAAGTAATCATGTTTTTACCTTGTCCACGAACCGACATTTCCTTAATCAATCTTTCTAATTCATCTTTACTGTCCTGTATTTGTTCGTAGTCATCGCTTGTGGTCAAACTCTCAATATGTATCAATAATTCTTCACGGCGTCTTCTTAAATTCGCGTTCAACTCATTTTCCAACACGTTCTTTCGCCCTTCAAGCTAAAATTGTGAATATATTATTAACAATGAGCATTATGAGAATTAAATAACCGCATAAATTTGTTTACAAACCTCGGACCTAGAAGTAGATATCCTAAATAATTTATCTCCTAATTGCTCAACCTCCGCATTCAGTTGCTCAAGTCGCTCCTGTTCCTGGGGAGTCAAATTTTGGGTGAGATCGGTGTTCATCTCTCTTAAATGAGCCTGTTTCTGTGAATTAAGCATCTTTATGCTGCTCTGAAGATTCGAAAGAGATTTTTCCTATATATGTACATTTATAGTGATTTATCAGAAATCATTTATATTAAGAAAGTAGATTACATTCATGTAATATCAAATTAACTAAGTTGTACCTTGTTGACTTTTGATTCCTTCAGATTCGCTTCTTCCTTTATTTTTGAGTTTAACTCAAATAAGAGAGGATCACGGCTATCCTGAATCTGACGTCTTTTAGCCTCAAGGGTTTGCATGGTATTCAGTAAATGAGTGATTTGTTGGTCTAAGCGTGTTATTAAATGAGTTAAAAATAAGACGCATAAGAATACTGTAACTCCAAAGAATGTGAGTGAAAAATAAAAGGATATGAGCTATTTCACTCTTCACAACTTTGGATCGTTGATCTAGATCCGAATATTCTTTCTTCCATTTTTTCAGATTCGTTGCGGCTTCTAATCTTCTCCTCCGTACATCATGATAACCTCCAGTGAGAGCCCCCTTGCGATCAACTCGATCACCTATAAAGTATAATAATAAGTCGACCGTATGAATTTAATATTCAAGTAAAAATTACGAACCATCCAACGTTATGCCATTCAAATCATGATCTCGAGCAACCTGTGATGCGACCTCTAAATTATCACAGATTATCGTTCGTCCGAATACCTATTGATATGTTGTTAAAATTATCCAATAATCAAAGACGCAACTTTATGAAATTGCTGACCTAAGTCCTACCTGTTCAATTGCTTTTGCATATGTTCTATCAAATTTGATCACATTTACCATGGGTAATATATCATCGGATTGAGGATACTCAAAGCTTTTTGTCCGCAACCGATTCAACGGCATAAAGGTCACGCGTCCGTTCTGTTCTCGATTGAGAGAATCCAGAATTCTAGTGGCAGTTTCATCGGTGTCGACCACCACATGGAATAAACTGCGTATGTGAATGAAGCGAAAGTTCAATTATAGATCCTTCTCATATATGAAGTATTAAAATTTTAACCATCAGTACCTTTGTCCAGCAGTAACTTCCACGGCGGTCCACATATTCGTATCTGAACATTCGAACAATTCATAAAGTGGTCCATACACACCTCTGATCCGAAATTGCTCAGCTATACGTCTAACGGCATTAAGGCCATTATTTGTTTTCTACAACATAATTCATGTTAAAGAACATCAATAGATTAAATCCGATCTCCATTCGGGATTTATAGTAAATTATCACCTTGTCCATAGTACTGGCCAATGTTCTTTCGTTATTCTTCCATTGATCACGGGAGTTAACCAACTTAGCTTCCAATTGTGCATCTTCTTTCCAAAGTTCCCTATTAATTGCAGAAAATTTTAACGAAGAAATCACAGAATATATGATCTCTTATGAATAGTTAGAAATACAAACTTTCGCTGTTCCATCAGTCTGTCTCGCTGAGACCTTGTTTCGTTATACTCATTATTCATTTCTTCAATAGTTCTTTTCCGTTGTTCCAATTTATTTCTTGTGTCGTGAATCTCCCCTGTTACCCTTTCCATACTCTCGGATATTTCATTTATCTGAGCCTCTAATTCCTCGACCTGTCGACCAGAAACAGTTAATTCATGTTAAAAATTTAAAAGCGATGCCTCAATGTACCTGCTGATTCTGCATGAACATTGTTTGGTCAATCTCTCGTATTTCTTGTCTTAGCCACGCGTCTCTCTGTTCCCTAGTACGAAACTGTGAACTTCGACCTTGTTTAGCATAAAGTGTTTGACGCAACACGTCGGATTCGTTTAATCTATAAGAAAATATATTATTATTATTTTTTATAATTCTACACTTATTAAATGCTACAAGAAAAGTCCAAATAAAATACCTTTCTTTCAATGCATGTTCTTCTGCGACTTCCTGCTCATATCTTGGTATTATTTGCGACAATTCCAACTCTTTCTGTGTAATATCGGCTTCGACATTTCGTAGCTCCACTTCTCTTCTCCGCTATTTGAGTCCAAAGCTCAAAGTTAGATTTAAACAATATGCGTTATAAAAACAATAAATACGTATATACTATGTATTGAACACACCTTTGTCACACTATTCTGTTGAGCTGTGTCTTCCATATCCTTAATGGTCAGTTCAATTTGTGCATGGGCCTTTATTTGTTCCTGCATGTCTTCATCAAGTTCTCTCTTTTCAACTTTAAGCAGATCCACTTTTTCTTGTATTTCTGTGATTTCACTTTCAATATTCTTTTCGCGTTCTTCAATTAGAAAATATTTTGCATATGTACAAGTCACATATTAACAAAGACAATACTCACCGAGATCGTTAACTCATAATCATTAAATTCCATGTTCTGTTGGTTCGATCCATGAACATCCTTTTCTCGTAATTCATCCATCTATAGATATTTAAGATTTATTAAGTCCGACTCGAGTTAAACATTACCACATAATTCAAAACATACTTCGGCCAATTGATGCAAGATATCCGATTGCTCACGATGAAATATTGAATATTCTAAACATCGTCTCTCACGATCCATATCTTGAAAATTTCGTAACTCCTCTTTTTCTTGTTCAAGTTCGTTAAGGCGTTCGTCAATATACCTCAGAAGTTCTTCAATCTTGGATCTTTTGGAATCTTTATTTTAAACGGGAATAAATGAAGCCATATTGATACGTCTACAAATAATTTTCGCTATGAAATAACCAACCTGTTTCCTCAATAATTTTCATACTTTCTTGTCTCCTTTGCTCATAAACTCTTGTACCGGCAACTTCCTTTAAAAGCTGCAGTCGCTCATGATCTTTGGCGTTTGTCAATGCGGTAATCTAGTAACCATATAAGATGGTACATAAAAACAACGAACAAACCTTACATAAAACATTATTTGATTTTTATATAAACATTTACCCTCCCCTGAGGAACAATATAGTACGGATTTGAACGCGAAAAACCAGCGCTTTCAAGCAAATTCATGACGTCACCCTTTCTGCATCAACCAATATATTATTAATATTTTAAGACAACGTATTTAAACGCTAAGATATTAAAATATCGACAACATACGTTGCACTTTTACCATCTAATGTGTAATCATCTTTTTTTAAACCTATACTACGCTTCAATATCACCTCATCTTTCCCTGTCTGCAAATTTAAAGTTGAGGTGTCTGATTTACCCTCTTCATGGTGTTGCATTATAAATACCCAATAATGCAATTAAACTCATACTAACTGGGAACCGATTATCATTATTATCAAATATAATCTCAACATAGGCGGTAATAGCTTGAGGTCCAGTTCCCTCCTACGGAACGGAGATATCGTTGAATAAATGAGTTTTGAAATAACTCCAGTATACTATATTATGCACGTTTGAACTAACTTACGTGGAGAAGCGCTTGTCGCTCTTCTTTTCCCATGTTAGTATACGCGTCACTTAAAACGAAACGAATGGCTATGTAACGTTGTCATAATAAGATGAGGTGTCTTCTTTATTCCATTCAAAGATTGCAAAATAAATTTTAATATCTCACCAGCAAAAAAATTGCTCTTGCCGGACCCATTCCTTCCAACTGTTGTTCCGGAGTTCAATATTAAAATTCTGAATCAGCAACAGTCCTATCA